CCTGATTATACTTCTTATTGTAGAACAACTAGAAGTTCTTTCTGATTTGTCCCTTTCTTCTAATTGGCAGAAATAATGTTGTTGTACATGTCCAGTTTGCCAACCTACACAAAATGTTCTTGTATAGAAATTGATTGCGCTTTGTGAAACTCAATTATGTTGCTTTTTTATATTTTTTCTTGGCTATTTCTTTTATATATTCAAGATTGCGCATGTCCTCTTATATATTGTTGTGTTCAAAATTTTCTAGAAAAAAGACTGAGAGAAACAAAGAAAGTCGAAAAAAATTGACTATGCCACACACATCAGGGAGAAAAAGTCATTCTCAAATTATAGACGATGTACGAAGTAATCACTATTTATTTTCTATAATTTATATATTAAATAATACTTATCGTGAATATTTAATGTCAATCTCTTACTATTCAAACAGATGACAAAGATGAATAATGGTGTAAAGCCAACTCGTATTGAGGTGTTCAAAAAAACTCACATTAGAGCGAATAAACAACCAGTAAATGAGATAGCTGGTGAAGTTATGGTAAACTCTTACTCTTTAAAAAATATATAGGTACTTTCTTTCTATTACAATTTTTTTAAAACTTCTCATTACTTTACCTTTCTTTCAAAAAGAAACAAATGGATGATCTTTGCCGAGGTGTATCCTGAGTTGAATGTCCCTGGAAGTGCTCCTAATGATGTGTACTCCCAAGTAATAGGATCAGACACTCATGGAATTATCTCTTAGCTTAGTATATGGCCCCGTATATAAACGATCTCAGGCTGAAAAAAGAGATTTTGATACAAGGCTTGAGATGGAAGTTCAAAAAGCTACCTCAGCTATGAAATTTGAGATGACATAGAAGATATATGAAGCAAAAAAAGAGATGGAAGCGATGGATAAAAAGTTGTTAGAAGCGAAAGAGGAAGCAAAAGAGAATAACGAAGTGATGGAGAGAAAATTATCGGAAGCAAAAATGGATATGGAAGAAATTATAGTGGATAAAGTGAAGGAAGGAATACAAGCATATGTAGAGTCTTTAGGAATTAATATTGATGCAAATTTAAAATCAGAGCAGGTGAAATAATTGTGTTGCTCACAAAAAAATACTTTTTTTAGATGAAAACTTAGTTTCTCTTGATTATAATAGTCTTCCTCTTTTGCAATAGGTTCCTGATAACCCACTTGAAGATTGTCAACAACCATCATCACTTGTTCCAAGTATTCACACAAGAAAGGTTAGAGAAAATTTCATTAAAATTTTTGAATTTTTATTTTAATTGCGTAAATCCTAACATTTATATGATCACGAGATCAGAATCTTCGGATGTTGACATAAGTCAACTCTTCCATGCATTAAGCCTCCAAAATTGAAAAACTTGCACCAAAGACTATGTGTCCTGATCATACTCTAATGTATCATTTCATAATCTGTATTTATTATGTTGCTATGTTCATTTTGACCACCTTGAACCTGTAGCTCTTGCCCCTTATTCTCTTCTGTCCCTACTGCTTGTTGTTGCCTTCTTTTGATGGCATCTCTCTTCTTTTCGCTTAGTTTACCCTGAGATTTGATGTTGATAGTTTGCCTTTGCTTTGTGCCCCCACTGTCTTGTATGTTTTGTTCCTATTCTCTCTAATGAACATTCTTTTTTCTGATTCTTTTTCTGAGTGTTATGAGAAGTATTAAGATTACCCTGTTGATCATTCTGTTTACTGTGTCCCTGACCAGAAACCTTTCCCTGATGGATGAGCTGATTGTGTTGGTTCTCTTGTGTGGTCTGATGAGAAGTGGTAGCAGAATCTCTAGGGTCTTTCTTAGGGTCAGTGTGTAAATTCTCATGATGCAGAAACCCCCCTTTGGATACCCCTTCCTGCAAGTTAGTAATGTTCCCCTCCAATAGCTTCCATTATCTAAAGGGGTGAGGGGTAATGGGAGCATTGAGTCAATACCTTTGATCTTAGAGGCCTTTGTATTTCCTTCTTTGTCCATACCTGCAAGTACATTAGGCATAGAGGGAGGATTTTGGGATATAGGGGTTGGTAACACAGAATCTTCCCCTAGTTTGGCCTGTGTTTTTCCAATCGGTGCCTTGTCTTCATGATAATTTTTGCTTGTACTTGGACTGTTTGGCAGATCTGGTTCAACAAGATCAATATAAGAGTTACGAGTAATAATATGTTTACCTGTATGACTGTGACTTTTCTGGGAATTGGCCTGATCCATATGTTCTTGAGTTGTGTTAGGTCTCTCCTCATTGTTTGTATTGTTTTTGTTATTCTTCTTTTATTGAGTTTGCCATTGTTCTTCCTGCTGATTTTAGCTTATTGTAAGATGCGTTCTTCCAATAAATAACATACATAGTGTGATCCCACTAGTGGGGTCTGGGAATGGGTTCTTACAATAATGAACATTTTTTTTTCATTAAGAAGTTTCTGTTATCTGCTTTTTTGGGAACTGCGAGCTTTTTTTGGGATATGAGTCTTTTAACTACCAGAAATATTTGAAAAGAGATAAAAGGACAATCCAAAGAATCATATCCAAATATACTATGGTAGATTATAACTCATATCTCATAAAAAGAAATCCTTTGGCTGCTACTTTGAGCAATCTGAGTTTTTCATCGCTATGATTTGGTTTTCTGCTTTTTTTTAAACAAAGCTAGGTTTGGATCTAGTTGGATTTGGAGTTGAAGTGTTAGAATTGATCATTGCAACTTCTGATAAGATAATTGTTCAATTCTAGTATGTTTTAATGTTGTTTCTGTGTATTTATGAAGTTTTACTGTTTGTACAAGTTTATGTAGTATTATTTGAGTTGCATTGAGTCATCTTCCTTCAACAACATTTTTGGAGTACGCGTGAAATGAGTCTCTGACTTTTGACGCCTTCTCACTCATTTCTTTTTTTTGAGGCTGGTAATATTAGTCTATAGATATCAACAGGTAAACTACAACCAAAAGTGTAGTTCCCCTTCAAAAAAATTATTACATCTTGCAGAGTTTTTGACTTAATTGGATTGATGCCTATAAACAATCTAGTACATCAAAGATGTCTTCTGTTCTAGCTAAAATATCTTGTTTACACCAAAAATACAGAAGAGCTAAGCAATTCATTTTAATCTTCTGAAGGCTATTCTGTACATTCTCAAACCTCCTATTGTTCCCCTCTTTCCAAATTGTCCAGCAAACGCATGTTGGGACAAACTTCTATCTCTCCTCCTTTGAAGCATTGCCATCCCTAATCCAGCTACTTAGAACTCCTTTGATGCTTCCTGGTTTCACCCACGTAATTCCTTTCAGGCAAAAGAACATTCTCCATAGCTGCTCAGTCCACTTACAGTGTAAAAAAGATGGTTGATTGTCTCTGCTTGCTCTCCACACAGAGTACTTCTAGAGGCAAAATGATATCCTCTTTTCTTCAGATTTTCATGGGTCAGAACCGCTCTTTTGACAGCAACCCCAAAAAGCAATTCACTTTCTAGGGCACCTTGGTTTCCAGATCATCCTCCATGGCCAGTCTGTCTCTTGGTCTGCAGTCTTGTTGAGTGCCCTATATGCTGAATTGACTGAGAATTTACCATGAATGTCACTTTGCCAAACCAGTGAATCCTTCTCATCAGTAAGATTGCTAAAATTATCTACTGTTATTGATCCTAGGGCAATTCTCCATCTCTAAATGAGGCCTCCATTCTTCTGTTTCAGCATATAAATTCTCATAGAAGGTCACTATTTCCTTCTTGATTTCGACTGGATTTTCTATCATCACCTCCCCTACTTTCAGTCTATCAATAGTGTTGGTTCTCCTATGAGCATTTGCTATTTTATGGAAGAAGTTGGTATTTCTATATCCTTCTTTTAGCCATGTTGCCCTGGACCTCTATTTCCAAGCTATCTCTTCCTTTCTGGCAATATCTTCAAAATCATTTGGAAGAGTCATTCTGGACACAATTTCCTTCTCTTGCAAGGTTCTATGTTCTTGGATTTCTTCTAGTTCTGCCAATTTTGCCAATACCAACTACTTTTGAATACTCAATTTACCTTGGACTGATTTACTCCAATCCTTGAGTTTGGTCTTCAGCTTGGTCACTAGAACAAAATCAGCATTTCCAACATTGGGAAAAGAGTCCCACCAGATCTTGACCTTCTCTTTAAACCCCTCGGTTTGAAGCCACCAATTCTCGAATTTGAAGTAAGAATTGGAGGCTCCCCAATCACCACACTGCAACACAATTGGAGAGTGGTCTGATGTTACCCTCTGCATGATTGATTGATTAATGTTAAATATCTATCTGAACTATTGTCTCTAGTGTCCTGTGTTGATAGATGATTTGCAGGAACTCCATTCTCTGACATAAAACCATTAGCTACACTTTTAGATTTTCTCTGAAGACTAAGTGGTGGATTTGAAAGAGGAGAGGATTTGTAAAACGGGCCATCTTCTAAATAATGTGATCCTCCCTTACTATACACTGCCATTTCAAATCCTTCAGATGCAGCTTTTTGATCTGGCGGTTTAAGACCATAATATCCTTGTAAGCTGCTCATAGCTGGCGAAACTTTTGGCTGGGGAGAGGATTTAAGTTTCAGGGACTGAAATGAATCGAATATATTAGAGTGTCGACGACTTGAAGAGGTTTGCTCAGAGCTGCTAGGTCTGCAAAAAAAAAAGTCTGATGTTAGACACTATTGCATATGGTAGTTTGCAAAGGTAGAATAACCAAGGGACAAGCTTCCGTGTATGAAAAGACATTTTCAGGTTCTTGGTTCAATAAGCCAAATAAAATTAAGTCAATTTAGCATGTAGTTAAAGTCATACAAATAGTCAACTTAGAGGTAAATCAACTTAACACAATCCCCAAACATGTAACTTCAACAGGTCCATATAACAGTTTCTGGTGAAACTTGTATTTAAAAGCATGAGCTTATAATAGAGTTCAAGTTCCTCCTCTCAGCTTGTCTAGGCCAGATTAGTGATAAAACCCTTATGATCTCTCATTATCACACGTCCTTTATTTTTTCATCACTTTGATATCTGAACTTGAAACTCCATAGAACAAGTTCCCTACATTTTCTCAGGGCCCAAATGCCATCCACCTCTAGTTTGTTAGATGGCATTCATAGCTTGTTCATAAGAGGTGTCTTGTGTAAAACATTAATTCTCCCCTTAGTATTGGTTTGAGAAATTAGTGAGAAGGCGTCAAAATTCAGAGAATGGAGTTTTAATGTTGCTATGATTTGGTTTACTGTATGGTTTATTTTGTGATTTCAATAAAGCTAGATGTGGATCTAGTTGGATTTGGATGTACTAGTAGACTGGATTTGGAGCTATAGTTTTAGAATTTGATCATGTTGCTTTTGATAAGCTAATTGTTCAATTCTACTTTGTTTTAGCTCTCTGTTTTACATGGTCCACATATAATTATTAAACTAGTCCACCTAGATGTGCAATAGTTACACCACAGTTCCAAATTTAAAGAAGAAAAAAATGTTGAACCTCATATCTATGAAGGTGCCTCTCATCTACAAAGCTCTGGTTGTCAAATCTGAGAAAAGATATAGTTTATCCACTTGGTAATATCAATAGGAGAAATCATCCAGAATTATCAAGATACAGCCAATGCAGTGAGGTTGGGAAAAGGAAAATCTCTTTAAATTGGTTCTTTCTGCAAGGAGTAAAAAGAAAAGAAAAGTTACTTTTGGTTCAGAAAAACAATTTATAAGAAGTAAGGGGGTAAAAAGTTTAAATTCTCTTTACCTCAAAAAGGAAAACAGTGTCTATATAGAATGTTAAGTTGCATTGTGTTCATTATAGGGATGTTATGGTTTGTTGTGTGGCTTATTGTGTGCATTGACGGAAACTAGTGTTTCCTGCTTTGTTCAAATCAATATCTGCAGAGTTGGTTGGAATGGATGTAGAGGTATTTGGATGAACTAGTTGACTAGATAGCTATGCTAGGTTTTGTGGTCAAGAACTAATGATATGTGAACTTTGTGTTGGAAAAACTCATATTAATGCTATCACACTGTTAGTTGCATTATAAGATGTTTGTATCTTTGTCCCAACACCAGATATTTGTTTTGTTGAAGCAATCAAATATCTTCCTTTTTTTATTTTCCTAATTGGCACACTTATGTATTCAATGAAATGTTAAGTTTTGTATTTCGTAAAGTATCAAAATAATCAATTTAATATTTTTTCTCAGGCTAACATGATCAAGAAGACTGGAACTACCGTAGTTGGCACAAATAAACAGAAGTGGGTATGTTTGAAAAAACTACAAGATCTTTCTTTTCTTTCAAAAGGAGGAAAATTTCATGTATATAATTACTGCGTTTGCATCAATTCCTTAATATGTTTGTTTTTAGAAAAATTCAATAAGTCATTTTTGATATTCCATTTTGTTCTAGTTAATGAGGATCTAATTTCTATTATTATATAGTTATAAATTTTCTTATGTGCATTTCTTGTGCAAAATTTTCAAGGAAATTGAGGTCAAGTATCGACTTCAACATGCTCGACTTTTGGATTGATGATTTCATAAAGATTTATTGCAAATTTATTAGAGATTTTAATTCCATTTGAATTAGGAGTTAATTAGTTGGTTTTATGTAGAGATTATTACATTTAGTTAGATCTCAATTTTACTTGGGATAGAAAAGATAATTTGTTTTGACATTGTTTACTTTAACAGAAAACTTATTATATTGCTATTTTGTTCTTTGATTATAATATTAGAAAATATTTGCTTTATATAATATTTCTTGCTCATCATGAAGGAGATAGTTTTGAATGTACGAATTGTTTGTATGTATTTGTGTCTTGAGAAAAACTATATATAGATTTTTCTGGGAAGTTTAAGAAACTTGGTAGCGAACATTAGAATATTAATATGACATTTAGATAAATATAAAATAATATCACCAATTTTTTATGACATTCAATAATAGCATTTGTTGACATTAACTATAGTGAACTGACACTTACCTAAATGTCAAAAATAAATGTCATATATCTCATACTGACACTTACCTAAATGTCAAAAATAAATGTCATATATCTCATACTGACACTTACCTAAATGTCAAAAATAAATGTCATATATCTCATACTGACACTTACCTAAATGTCAAAAATAAATGTCATATATCTCATACTGACACTTACCTAAATGTCAAAAATAAATGTCATATATCTCATACTGACACTTACCTAAATGTCAAAAATAAATGTCATATATCTCATACTGACACTTACCTAAATGTCAAAAATAAATGTCATATATCTCATACTGACACTTACCTAAATGTCAAAAATAAATGTCATATATCTCATACTGACACTTACCTAAATGTCAAAAATAAATGTCATATATCTCATACTGACATTCACCTAAATGATCCAGAATGCACAGATGCTGAAGCCAAAGCACAAACGGCGATGAACTAGATGAAGGGCGAATCACTGAGTCATTCGGCGTTCGCAACTAACCTCGCCAAGCGATCCGCCAACACTATTTTCTGAAGTCTTTAAATACTAAACTCTTTACTAGTTTTTGTGGGGAACATTAAAGTAAAAACATAATTGTAATTTTGAGACTTAGAATATTAGCTTTTGCATTTTTCTCTCAAGTTTGGAGAGGGTTTTGGGAAGACTTGAAGAAAGAAGGAGTTCATCTTCCTCAAATTAGAAGTGATGCGGTGCTTGTCCCTCGAAGCGAAGGTAAATACCAAGACATTGGGGATTCTGAATCTGACCGCACTTTCCTCAGGTCGAACGGCTATCGATCCTGGCCCGATGAGAAAAGGGTTGGGTCTTCTCTATTATTCTTCCTTTGCTTATATCAAGGTTTAATTTCCTATACCCATTTGGTTTTAACATCATTTTAGGTATAATTTCTTATTTCTTGATGTGTGGCTAAAAACCCCCATTCTTGGGGTGTGATTTAGCGAATATGGGTTGATATTATTGTTGGGTCTTGCTTGTTGATAGGTTAGATGTATTTTAATGGTGATTTCACCTAGTGGTTGTGGTTTAATTTAATGGGTTTGTAGTTGCAAATACAAAACCACCCATGTGTTTTCGGCTTGCTCGAGAGAGAGGTCGCGAAACCAAGACCGCTAGACTAATGGCCTAAGGAGTGGGTCGACATGAGGTTCAGCCCGAGAGGGTGAGCCTTAGTCCCATAACCTAACACGCAGCTCGAGAGAGTGAGTGGGATAAGGCATAGGCTGGCCTTCATGCGGCAACTGGGTGTCCGAGAGGAACCCATTTGAAACGGGTAAGTTGCTCGAGAGAGAACTTATTTCCATCTAAAGCTTAGCCTAGTCACTATTATCTTGAAAATTTCCTATCGAAAGCATGTACCCAATGATTTATATTAATATGTATTGCGGTCACACCCCAAGAACTTCTCCTCATACTTGAGTTTTCTCTTTATTTTTGTTGTTTTAGCCATACTTGTGACAAACCCCCTTTGATATTTGACACTTTTGTGTCACCCACTTGAATTTACTTTGTTTTATTCGATAATTTTTCAAACTACAGCTAACTAGAACAAAATTCTAGCCTAACTACTATTTTCACTACCACTCCCTTGGGACAAGACCCCAACCGTTGGTTGGGTTACTATATTATCAATGATCGTAGACACTCGAAACGTAGGTTAGTGTCGTTGGTCATGATAAGCATCAATCGCTGACCTGGTCGGCAACTCGCCAAGTTGCTCTTGGGCTCGCCAATCTCTACCTTTCTAACACTTTCTACACTTCAACATGCACAATCAACACACCATTATTTCTAAAACAAAAATAAAGCGATAAAACACTTGGGTTGCCTCTCAAGAAGTGCCTTAGTTAACATCATGGCACGACTTCCCCACTCAATCTTGATTTGTGGGGTAGAGACGATACAACACATGACCCATTTGGGTCTCCAGCAGCTGAACAGATATGGAATGGGAAGCAGTCATCTCATTCAGCAGTGAGACATTCTCTTTTAGCTCATTCAACACTTTGTCGTGATCTTCGACTTTGTGAAGAATAAGAGAGAGTATCTCTTCTATTTGTCCACCCTCGTACACCTTGGGATTGATACGCTCGTGAGGGGGAATGTACCGATCTTTGTTTTAGTCCGGTGCTTCTAATTCCAAGATTTTTTTGGCCACTAGATCCAGCTGAGTTAATAGTGTAGCCAAGATCTGGTCCTTCTCAGTCTCCTTGTTGGTCTTGGCCATATGATCAAGGAGCTAGGCTGCTATTGCATAGGGTAGTCGTGAGAGAGCCCCCGGAGACATTTGGTCATCCACTCCTCTGTTTTCCGGACCAAGACCTCTATAGAAGCAGTCCAATAGCATGTTATCTGAGATTCCATGCGCTGGGCATTGCAGTAATAATGACTTAAATCTCAGCCACAACTCATGGATTGACTCACCCTCTATTTGCCTGAAACTTAGGATGTTATCCCAAAGAATCATCATTCTTAAAGGAGAGAGGTCCATTTAGCCACCATTGCTACAAGACATGCTCCTTTATGCTGCTCTAAACAAGTAACACGAAAACCAAAACTAAAAATAAGTTCAACTATAACTAACAAGAATAAATTTTAACTTAACTAAAGAATCTTAAACAACACCACTCCCCGGCAGCGGCGCCATTTTGATTTCACGTATCAGGACACTTCTTCCAATTCTAAGTGCCAACGATCGTTAGTCAGTAATATAACCCAACTAAGTGAGTTGGGGTCGAATCCCACAGGGAGTGGTATGTGCTTAAGATTCAAGAGCCAAGTGAAAATATGTTCAAGTCAATCATAGTTAAATACATTTATGAATAAAAGCATATTTCAAATTAAGGGTGACGCAAGTGTCAAATATGGGGGGGGGGGATTTGATTGTAATTATCAACTACAACAACAACAAATAACACGAATAAACAAGTAAAGAGACGGGTTCTTGGGATGTGATTGGATTATAGGGTAAGGTAGACAAATGGGTGACTGCAACTGATAGTGAATAGCTGTAAATCAGTGACTAAGCTACACTTTAATGGGGGTAAACTTTCTCTCGAACAATTTACCCCGAATCAAATTGGTTTCTCTCGAACACCAATAAGCAGCGATTAAGAACAACCTACGCTTTAGTCCATTGACTCTCTCGAGCTGAATGTGTGGAAAAGGGTTTAGGATTCACTCTCTCGAGCTGAACCCATGACAACCCAATACCCACAGACCATCAAATCAGTAATCTTGGTTATAAAACCTCTCTCTCGAGCAAGCCAAAACCATGAAGTTAGAATTGCATTTGCAACTACAACCCTTTTAAATTAAATCACAATTATTGATTGAAATCACTTTTAAACATCATTTAAACTATCAATTAACAATACCCAGTAGCTAATTCAACCCATAATCACATAATCACACCTCAAGAATTGGGGTTTTAGCTAAACATCATAAAAAGATAGAAATCGTTACCAAATTGTGTTTCCATCAACTGGGTACAATTAATTTAGTCTTTACAAGGGTCAAGGTTGAAGAATCTCAAAGACCCACTTCCAATTTCTCAAAAATGGAAATCTTCAAATCTTCAAAGCTAAGGAAAATAGTCTCTAAACTCAGAATTCTAAAACTTCAAAAACTGATAATAATGAAAACTTGATACTACACTAAGAATTTTAAAATGTATTTATAGTCGCCAAAAATATGATGCGAAGGACCATTTGGTGCAATAAGTCGGGATCGCCAATCCACTCGGCGATCTGCCCTTTGGTCAATTACATCGCCTCTTTTGCTTTTGCCTTCAACATCTTCAAATTCTGTAACTTTGGGCGATCTAGCACTGCATCACAGAACCGTTCCGCGACTCACCGACTGCTCCTTTCTATCACCGACTTGATTTTCTCCTTCAGGACTTGGCACACTGAAACTTTAGGAGAGATCATGGCCATTCGACGACTCTCCCACTGGGTTAGGTGATCATCATGCCCTCTTTTCTTCGCTCTTTCAACTGCGTTGTTCCTTTTTGCTCATTAGTGTCCATACTTTGTTCCAAAATCCAAATACCTGAAAATCAAGGATTTACATCAGTTATTGTCACAAAATATGCATTTGAGGACACTAAATCTATTAAAATAAAGCCCTAAATGAGTCCAAATTGTGGACTCATCAGCGCTAGAGAATGAACTTCAGGCACTGGGTTGGGACGCTCTGGCTGGCGCGGTGGCCCAGAGCCCCAGTTGGGGCGCTCTGGCTGGGGCGGTGCCCAGAAAACTCCGACTTTTCTTCATCGTTTTTCAACTCTAAACCCCTATTTCAACTTGGTTCTTTCCCCAAACACTTAGAATCGACTATATCCTCAATATATGTAAGATTCTACTCAAAATCACACCTAAATTCATGAATCAAACTTAAGAAACTTCAACAACAAGAACCCACAAGATTTCA